GGCCCTGTGCACTGGTTCCAGTGTGCACAGATGGCCTGGGGCCCAAACAGACTACCCCAGAAACAGCTTGAGGACCAATCTAGTAGGGCACTGCATGCAGCACACACCCTGTGCTGGCCCTGTGTTGCATGCAGAGCAAACCCTGGAGCAGAGCCAGCGTGTGCAGCACACTGCGTGGGGCTGGACTGGCCATGCACCCTGCACACAGCACCAGGGGCCAGGCATAGGGTATGCCGCACAGGCCCTAGATGTGGGCTCTAGTGCATAGTCCTGATCTAGCCAGCAGACCAGCCCAGTGACCCTTATCTAACCCTGGCTCCAAATGTAAGGGAGCACTTTCAAACATGCCCAAGTGATTTGAAAGCCCACATCCCATGAGACTCCCAGCCACTGCAAATCAGAAGCAACTAGCTGCAAGACAGGGTCTGATCCCTCACCCCAACCTAGAATAAAATGCAACTTCTGCCCACCTTGTGGTAGTGCCCTCACTCAATCTCCAACCTGACACAAAGGCTCTGGGGTGCACTCAGGTTTGTAACCTCCTTGAGGTCCCTCCTCTGGGGTGCACTCAGATTGCTCCTTCCTCTCAGTCTCCTTATCGTCAAGAGAAAGACCCTGCAACTTGGCTCTCCCAGGAATTCCCCGATCATAAATGTTTCCTGCAGGTGTTGGTGCTTTACCTTGTCTACCAGCTATCTACTACACAGAAGCAGTAAGAGGGAGAGGGAGAGGGAGAGGGAGAGGGAGAGGATGATCTGGCAGCAGTGGGAGGTTTGTGGTTAAAGCACTGGCTGAGGTTGTTTCCTTTGGATGTAAAAGGATGCCTCAGCCAGAAGGTGTTTGAGAAGTGCAACATATCATCAGGATACCATCTGGTAGATTCTTACTGACATGGGGGGAAAGGGATCCTGATTCTCAAGTGCCCCCAGCAGCAGGGGGAACATAGCGATTGGTCCTCTCCATGTCCAGACAAGGAATCTCTGGGTCAGAAAAACATGCTCAGGGGACTCTTGGACCAGTATTGCCTCTGTGTTGAATACAAGGCACCCAAGAGCCTGGAAAAAGCATGGTCCCCCAGACATTCCCCAAGTGCTCAGGCAGAGGGCCTCAGGGATGGCCTCAATCAGCAGGCCACAAACTACAATAGCAATGGAGACAGACAGGCAGACAGATGGATAGATTGGGCTGGGCTGGGCTGGGCTGCAAACAGGGCTAAACCAGGTAAGCACACACTAGAAGCAGGGCCCTGTCCCCACTCTGCCATCTCTCCTCCCCCATAGTAAAGAACCCCTGTTTGACTGTGTGAAACCAGAGGGATTTTGTGTAGATGGATGCAGAGCTGCCCTGCAAAATGAATCCTCTCACAAGTGTCTGGAAGCCCTCTCCTGGTGAGCTCCAGCTAAACAACAGCTTCTTATAAAGCCCGGTGACATTTGCTGCCTCTTCAACCTCGATCTATACTAGGAGTAAATGGTGTTCTAATAAACAAGGCCAGCAACCTCCCTCCAGGGGCAAGACACTAGGCTTGCTTTAACCCCCAGTATCTCCTTCTCAGAACCTGTAGCTCACCTGGCAGCTGGGATCTTCCCAGCAGTGGTGCATAAGGGGCTCAAGTCACCAGCTCTTTCCAAAGTCCAGAATGATTTTCTCCCAATGCAGCAAGAACATGGCCCTCCAGGCAAACAGCACAATGACCATGGAAAATACTCGCTCTCTTCCCTGCCTGCTCTGGTTAATTCCCCAGGTGGCACTTGATACCATGGGAGCTGGTGCTGAACCAATACCTCAACATCAGGGATGGGGTTCACTTTTTTGGGGGCCCTGCTCAAGGGCTCAGCCTGGGGCCCCTCTTCTTTACTGAACAGCTATGCATGCTACTAGAACCATGCATATGCATGACTAGCAACCATGCATTGATGGTTGCTAGTCAGTTCATGACTAATCAATGCTACAAGGGGCTTTGGCCAGCTCCAACTCTGGACAACTGCACAGTTTGCACTGCCCTAAACACTGCATGGTGCTTCAGGTGTCTGGCTACTGAAGGATCCACATCACTCTTTTTGGCCCTAGCTTTTCATGGACACTGAAGTCCTTATGATACTTTTCAAGGGGGTTTTAGCTTTCAGTTCTGAACAAGTCTGTAGGTAATAACATAGTTGCATAGTTGGTAGGGTCAGAAGGGACCTGAGCAGATCATCAAGTCTGACCCTTTGCCATGCCAGGAAAGAGTACTGGGGTCAAGTGAGCCCGGCCAGGTGATCATCCAGCCTCCTTTTAAAGACCCCCAAGGTAGGAGCCAGCACCACTTCTCTTGGAAGTTGGTTCCAGATCCTAGCTGCCCTGACAGTGAAGTAGTGCCTCCTGATACCTAGCCTGAATCTACCTTCTACTAGCTATAGAACATGCTATATTCTTCTTTACTTATTGTCCTTAACTGCTGGGCATTGTTAAATGCTGCCACATTCCACTCCAGAGATGGTTAAAGTTTTGTCCCATACACTGTATATCTTCACTAAAAGAAGTGAAATGGAATCCCAAGGTTTGCCCACATCTGATGTCAGGAGGAAAGAAGGCAGGCAGAATCATAACAAACAGTAACAGGAGCTTCTGAAATATCCCAAGAAAGTTGGGGTTTCTTAGGAGCTCAGGACACATCTTCTTTGTTGTTACCTAGCCAAGAATTGAAAACTGATCCAGAGCCTGAGTGCCTTGCAGAGCTGTTTGTCACTGGGATGCTAAGATCATACATTTTGCTGTTTAAGAAGGGACAGTCCTGGTGGAGGAATCTTCCATGGGGCTTTTCCACAAGAGGAGTTTCATTGGCGAGTCCTTGAGCATGGGTCCATGGCCTTTACTGCAGAGATTCAACACAAGAGCTGCCCCTCCTGATGGAGTTTACCACAACATAAGAACCCTCTGGTTTTGGATATTACAATGCACTGACATCAGAATAGGCAACGTCAACAATTCTGTCTTGCAATCTTATGGCCTCAACTACATGACAAAGTTGAAGAAGCAGAGGGCTGCCAGCTGAAGGAAGAAGGGTGAAAGGAAGGGCTGGATGCCTGAATTCAATATATGGCCAACTCTGGCCTTGTACTGAAGTTCTGATTTTATCATTCAAGGCATAATCTTTCCAAGTACCTCAAGAGGCACTGCTTGCAAGTGCTGAGGAGACTTGAGGGCACAAGACTCCTAGCCCAGGAGATCAGGAAGTAGAGAGGATCCACATGTGGCATGATTAGCACCCATTTGATAGTAATAGGCCAGCCCGCTACAGCTTCCAGGAGTACTAGCACTTTGTCAAGTACATACATCATAGCATCCAGCAATCAATTTTTCTGATGCCCTGCAAGACCCTACATACCATCCTCCTATCCAAACCCAATGCCTGCCCACTCCTATATCCCATTTGTATTCTCTCCCCTCTTCATTTGGTTCAAACATGCTACTGAAACAGCTAGAGAGTACCTCCCAGGTGCCCTTTCTGTAGGGCACAGCTGGCATAAATGATTTACGTCAGCTACTTTCCCTGCTTTCAACTCCCCACTAGGGGTATATGTCAGGGTAGGCAAGTGACAGGGGAGGGATCAGAACTAGACTGCAATGCGCAATAGCTATTCTCTACTACCCATGACCCACAGGGGCAAGGGCAGGACAAGGAAACACACAGGTGGCTTCAGGGCACCAGAAGGACTCTCTGCTGGGTAAGGCCAGAAGTACAAAGTCAATCAGTATGCTGTAGAGATTTCTTGTCTTCTGCTGTCTTCCAGTTGTCATGGTCTGAGAGGTCACTGGTCACAGTGGGAGGTGAAACACTGTACATTGAAATGCAGTGTTTAAGTTGAACAGGAGCTGACATGTTGAGCCAGCTGAGTGGGACTTCAGAGTCTTCTAAAGGTGCCATATGTCAACAATAAAATAGAGGCAGGTATCAGACTGCCAAGGGGCATTCCTAAACAAGGGCCAGTTGCCCAGTTCCTGCAGGGAGCAGTAAAGCCAAGCAATAGCAATCAGCCGAAATCCTATGTCCCTAGCCCTGACTCCCCAGCAAACACATCCATACACAGAGCTGCTGGCAGGCCCTCCCCTGCATTCCTCGTAGGTCACATTGGCTACTGTTGAATCTGTTGAGAGACAGTCTGTCTGTCCTGGACAAATGGCCACATGATGTTATCAAGACTCCCTGATTTAACAAATCAATCATTCTTAACCCCCTGGAAAATAAGATGCAGGTTAGTTTGCTCCTTGTAGCTATCTGGACTGTGCCCATCTCAATCTAACATGTGATATTTGTGCCCATTGGACAATGACCTTTCTTCACAGTTCTCATTCTGAAGCCCAGGAGTCAGAAGTAACTACTTTATTATACTGGGAAACCTATGACAGGCTCAGAGAGGCACTCACTAGCTGGTATGACAATAAGAAAGTGATTGTAGAAAAGCAAAGAATAAGTGAGATATGAGGAATATTAAAGAATCATGAGAAAGATACGGAGAGAAGGGCAGAAGGGATATGAGCAAAAAAGAGCTGGGAGGAAGAGCTGATTTGCTATGAACCAAAGAAGTCCAGGAGGAAAAGCAGCACTTCCATCTAAAGCGTCACCTAATGCTTTGCTCTCCTGGTTGCAGACCACCTGGGGAATTACAGAGATAGGATGCCCAGCCAATGTATTCAGGAGGTCACAGGTTTACTACCCTTCCTTGTCTTTCACTGAAGTCCTTCTCATAAATTTGGTTTCTTCTCCCCACATTGCAGCACCCTAAAGATTACAATGCTCACTCTCTAATCAGCCCTAGGTCTGGTCAACTGGAGCATGTTGAGGATTCCCAACTGTACTGACAGCCTTGATACCCACATTTCAGAGATCTGCCCCAGCCACACAGCTATATACCCAACTCCCAAGTATGGCTTACAGGCTCCCAGCTGGTTCTTACCGTGATAGGATTGTCGTAGTAGACAGAGATGGAGCAGAGCTTCGGAGAGATGCTGCAGCTCTCCGTAAACAGCTGCCCACTCTCGCCATAGGGTCCCACTCGGAACTTGTACGCTAAAGTGATACTGCGGATGGGCGGGGTGCCAGCACTAACGACTACTTCCGTGAAGAGTCCCGAGTAGACCATGAAGCCAAAGACAGTCAGCAACAGCAACAGCACGAGAACCGCAATCAGTCCAAGGACCACCCAGTCTGCCATGGTGCCTGGTGCCTCAAACCCCCCTTTCAAACTGATGGCAGGGGAGGAGAAAGGAAAGACAGGAGAGAAGTCAAGATACATTTCAACAAAGCTACTTTCTAGCAATAAGTGCCCCATATTTCCCATTCTCTCTTTCCAGACAGCTGGTGAGTGGGTGAAACAACAGCTAAGACCATCTTAGAAATTAGCAACATATCCCTTTACCTCTTTCAGCTTACGCAAATTGTGCCACTTCGATGCCTCTTGAGAATGTGGAGGGTACCTGGTCAGGGGATTGAGAGGCACTGCCAAATGTCTCCCAGTGACTAGCAGACAACTGGCACAACTGCCCATTTCTCAAGGGGCTACTACCAGGCAAGACTGAGAACAAGTCAGGCTGGAAGCCAAGGTCACTAGAAGAACTGTTATGGTGCAACACACTGGGCTGCGGATTAAGTACTTCAGTGAAAGATATTATTTGTTTTTCCACATTGCTTCCTGGCATCTCTGTCTAGAACATCCCTTTGTCAAAAAGCTGCAGGATGCTGGCCCGACTTCTTAGAGAGCCAGGCTATGATCAATCTTGTTCTAAACTGTGCCTTCCAACACAGTTGGAACTGGTCAGCCAGAAGGAGCTGAAGGCATAATTAGGTAGTTCTTATCCTGATACTATAATGGGGCCTTCAAGAAAGAACCAGTTTATTTCTCCTCCTAAGTTACTAACCTCACCTTTCATTTTAAAATATAGAAGGAGCTTTTCAAATCCTAACCAGTGTTCCACCATTTACCCCGGTTGTTTGTGAATTTCTTTTCACTCTGCCCAGACAATGAAACCAACCTGGTAAATGTCACTTACTGGTTTTCCCACAGGATGTTGCTGTGTTTAACATTTCAATGCAATATAGCAAAGCAAGAAACACTTTAGGCTTGTTTTCCCCATCAAGAATATTTATAGTCATGTGGGATCTGGTGAAATCCTTTTGGGGTTTTTGAACATAACCTACATTTGGGAATATGTTGATCTGAAGAGTCTCTCTTCCAAGAAAGCAAGTTTGTACAGCAGAGTTAAAGAAACTGAACCACTGTGGCTGGTGTTTGTTTAGCCTGAAGGAAAATAAAAGCCACATCCTGGTAGAGACCTCAAAGGGCCTCAGTTCTTCCTGCTACTCTTCAAGCCAAGCAAGGATCAGGACAACTACTGTAAAGGTAGTCAAATCCATCTCTACTCTAACTCTACCTACTCAAGGGAGTTGGAGCCAGAGAACTTTGTATCCCTATTGCTTGTGCCCTACTCACCTGGAAGTCAGAGGTATAGTCTAGCAATAGCTCATGGTCTCTGCTGCAGACTTTTGATCCACTTCTCAAGAGCAGGAAAGATGCCCTTTGGTAACTTCAGCCTAAAAACAGAAACAACAAAACAGTTGAGAAATAAAAAACCAACATGACCTGTTGTAGAGATGTTCTGTTGCCCTCTATGTTGCGGAGGAATCTGTGTTAATTCTCTCTACCACCTTCAGATGAATTGCCTCGGTCTGGGTTTGTGCAGCCACAACAAAATGGGTTGAAGAACTACTTCCAGAAAGTGATATCATGCAAAGCAGCTAACCTCTGCACAGGTTATGAGAGGAATTTAGAAATAAAGACTAAAAGAGATTTCTAATGTTTAAGATAAAATATTTAATGATAGAAAAGTTATGTTGGCACAACTTGAACCATACAGGGAAGCACTCTGCAGACTTTCCCCCAAGCAGCTCAGTCCTGCCACGTGCCTCTGTCTACTTCACTGTTGTGTCTGCCAGCTGTTCAGACATATCCCAAACCCGACTTACAATACCGGTCCTGGGACATCACATGGTACTGTGAAACACCCCAAACTTATTGTGAAGCAGAGTATTTTCAAAAGTAGTTATCTCCAAGGAGTATAGAGTATTCCAATGCTTGGAAATCCCTTGTTTCTGTCTCAAATGGATGCACACTATTTCATCTCACTTACTGATTTTTATAAGTCTTTTGAAACTTACTAATCTGCACTCAACCTGACAATGTGAAATATTACAGATCACAAGGGACGGAAAACTCCCTTTCCCTATCCTCATCCGTGTCTTTAATTTTTACATGGTCTTTCAGTGGATATAACTGAACAGCAGTGTAAAGAATTATTTGTTGTTTGCTCTCATCACTGAGAAAAGGAACTCACTTTTGCCTTTTTGGATTCCAACTTGATAGGTAGTTAGCAATAGCGTGCTACTGGATTTGTCGAGGCACAGTTAGTATTCCTCTTGCAGTGCACAATATTCTCTTGCAAGAGGCAGACCTTTGCTACAGCCAAATTCTGCTTGCAGTTAGACCTGCAGCAAATCTGCAGTAACTCCAGTGGAAGCATTACTTAACCTGGATATAATGGAGCAGAGAATCGGGCCCTATTTGCTTATTTTGAAAGCTTACTCAATACAAATTTTAGTAATAAGGTCATGCATGATATCACACCAGAAAAGAAAGGAAAGGAGAAGACTTTGGTAACACAAAAGAACCGAAAAGGACAGGGCTACAATCAACACCGTGTAACAAAGTAACAAGAGGCGAGAGAAGAAAACCATCAAGTAACCCCTTCGCTTATTTAAACCTACAGAAACCGGGGTCCGCGATCAAAGCGCATTCAATCAGAGCGACTCGCGTTCACACAACTGCTTCTTCCTCCCGCCCCGGCCTCTTGTTTTCAGCCGTGTTCTGCTTCCTGGTTCAAGTGCACCCGCGGCCCGCTGAGGTCACAGTGCCGGTGCCCACGAGCC